AAAAAAAAAAATACTTGGTTGTTCCTTATGATTTTTCCGCGCCCGGCCATTTTTTTCCGCGTCCAAATGCAAAAAACGAAATTTCTTCAATTTTTTTTTTTTTGCTTATGTGAATTGAGAGATGGGAGAGAGAGTGAGGGAAGGGGGGAGGGAGGTGCGTTTTTTCTGCGTTTTTCCTTTTTTCTGATTTTTATTTTATTCTTTTTTTATATTAGTAAGGGTATTTTGGTATTTTTTGGGTGCGGTATCTGACTTTTGGGTGCGGTATCTGACTTTTGGGTGCGGTATTTAGGGGGTGATTGGATATGAATTCAACTAGTAAAAAATTAGTTTTTTTTAACTATAGTTAAGTTTGAAAAAAGTTGGTATGGTTAGTTGTTAGTGGATATATTATAATAATATTTAAAATAAAATAATTAAAGTTGATTTGATATAAACGGATGAGAAAATGATTGGAAGTGATGGTTAGTTAAAATTATGTGAGTAGATGAATAGTGAATTAAAGTTGATGTGATGTGCAAGAATGATTGATTGATATTATTTAATTATATTGATAATATTGGAGATAGTGGAGTTGAGTTAAAATTGAGTTAAATTTGAGTTTTGATTAGTTTTTTACTGTACAATCTATATACAATCACCCCCTTAATAGTTGAGTTAGTTTATCTGACACAATAAGAAAAGAAAAAGTTAAAATTAAAATAAAATATAGCTGATGCCGACAATTAAAGTATGAACGAGGTACTGAGGACTGAGGTCAACTCACCATTATTGCGAATAAAGCTGATGCCGACAAAAACAATGACTTTTCAACTGGGGTTACCAGAAAAGTAAAATAAATAGAGCAAGGAAATATTGGGTAACAAATTGTATAAAAGGGGAAAAGATATTTTCTCAAAACTATTTGAATTGAAGGCTAAAAAAAGAAAACAAAATACTCAAAACTATTTGAATTGAAGCCTTTAATATTTTTTTTCAAACATTATAAGGAGTTGACTCTAATCTATGATCACCTACCCATATTTGTGTTTTATTAATATATATATTAAACAATTTGTACTACATTAACTAATTGTCCATTTGTGATAGCGTACGTGCATGGATCCTATCATCCTATCACTTAGAAATTATTATTAATAATTAGAGATTAGGTAAAGATCGAGAGTTGACTTTGAAAATCACCGGCTGCCGTGGACTTTTGTCTAGCATATACTTATGTGTTGAACTGGTTTGATTTAAAATTATCTCAATTATTTATTATGGTTTGTTAAAAGCACGACATTAATTTATGATAGAATTAGTCCGAAGTTGTTATAGTGAGAGAAAATATAAATTTATGGCTTTCATTAATTTATGGGTAAGACTACAATCTCATTACAGAAGCATTTCGTTGGGATTTGTAACCGTTAGATCAACTATCATTAACGGTTACTTGATGATCTAACGGTTGTAAATCCCAACGTAATGATTCCGCAACAGAATTGTAGCATTTTCCTAATTTTATTGATTACAAAGTGTCGGTAGTCACACTACATATATACCCACCCACGCATAACTAATATATTAGCTATTTCCTAATTGAACTCTTCATACTTTGTTTCACCATTATTTTAATTATATACTATCAAGAAACTCCCTACATTCCCTTACTACTACATCTCGGCTGGCTTGTAACTTATGGCAAAAAAAATTAATTAATATGATAAAAGTGTGACAAAATTAGCTGATAAGTTACTTGAACTGAAAATTTCAACGAGCTTATTTAAAAAGTTACCCAAAAAAACTTATAAGATAAGGTTGAGTTTTTTAAATAATCTCGTCCTACCAAATAAAGCTTATTTGTATAGTTTGTGTGTAATTGTCACTATATTGAATTTCTGTATAGTGTATACTATATACTTCTCCTACAACTATTATGTTTAGCTTTCTGCAATTATATTTAGTACTAGTTACAATTTCCTTCCATGGATTTACCAATATAAATCATACAATTGAAATAAACATGATTGAATTTGGAAAACATTAGAAGTTTATATATTTTGTGTCCATGAGACACATCTTTACAAATTACTACTATACAAAGAACTTCAAATATTATTTAACACATAACATTTATAATAATCTTTAAAATACAAATTGTTTGATACTACACTCGGCCCTCTATTTGAGTCGTCATGGCTCAAAAGCTCGAATATTCTTTCACAACAATTAGATTTCATTCTACCAATACAGTTATTAGGTTTTTTATTATTGTATCAATACAATATGTTATGCTGTGTGTGTGTGTCTATCTGTCTGTTTGTTGATCGAACGGTTAAAAATTAATAACTGCAATTTAAAATTAAGGTCGGATCTTCATACTATGAAAAGTTGGTGTGCCAAATTAGAATGGGCAAAATAGTATTTCCCAAAAAGTATGTGGCCTAAAATAAGAAAAACAAAAGTAGGAGGCCAAGGGGCGTGATATGATATGGTGGGCCCACACGCGGAGACTAGAAATCAACATGGATAATGGATACCCCGACATGAAAAATTAATTTTATTGAATCATATTAATAATGGAATTCATGCTTCATATTCTACAAGTTAAAGTGATTAAACTGTAGATTTTGTGACATGGAGCCTATCATCGTAAGACATGTTGCCACAAGATGACAATTAATAAATAGAGATTAGGTACCGAGTGTTGACTTTCAAGTTTCACCAGCTGGCGTTGACTTTTCTCTAACGGTTCGTTAACGTTCAAGCTTATTCGCTAGGCTAGCTCGATAATATTATTTTTATGTAATTTTCTGAACATTTTAATTTAGTTCAATTTGTAAAAGTTAGAAATTAACTCATTACTATTGCTAAGCAACTCGAACTTGAATTCATTTATATTAGCTCACATAATCATAATTAAGCTCGAGTTTGGCTCCCGGTATTTGGTATACTTCGGTTAGCTACTCTACTGGCATTCTTTCCTTTTTTTTCTATTAATTTAATTTGTCCACATTTTGATATTAGTTAGTTTCTGTTTCCCGTACACCATATTCGGTCCTTTAATTTAAAAATTTTCTTTACTCGTTATTCAGTTGGTTTGAACTGGGCATAATTTTATTTTTAGTCGCCTTTTTCAGAATTCACTTTTTTGGAAGACATTAAATTTAGTACATTAATATAAAAATATTATCAAATAAGGTATATTAATCATTAGTGACAGAATAAAAGCCGGATTATTTAGGTTTATCATTAGCTCGACGCGGGCCGATCACGAACCAATCACATGCCGAAAATGTAGTTTGTGCATATGATATTAGACTGATAATTGATTGAGCAAATGAAGTCCAATTGGTCTGAAATTTTGGGTATACGACCATATTGACAAGAAAAATTCAATGATAGATCACATATTTGAAACTGACTTGAGACAACACTCAAGTTAGGCCAAAAATAGAACAACTTGAATTATTTTGGACGACAAATAGAGTAGGGAAACGAAATCTAATTGAGCTACAAATTTGTGGCTACGACCTTCTTGATGAGACAAATCGTATAGTGGGTCACTCGACTAAAACTTACGCTAGAAGGTAAAAAAATGGCCCCTAGATACAGAACAACGTATATGGATCAAAATTATTTTGGATGACAAATTGAGGAGGCAAATAATAAACTTCAATTGAGATCAAATTAGGTGGGTACGACTGGTTTGACAAGAAGTCTTTTAAACCGGATAGAAAATAACCCAAATTTTTATGAATGGAAAATCGAGTGGGCAAACAAATTATGATTGAGCTAAAAGTTAATGTGTACGACCGTCTCTACGAGAAGAATCAAACATTGGGTTATCCACTAGAAACGGACATCGAATGACGTTCAAATTAGGCCAAAAAGAGAAGAACGAATTTTTTACTGCTACTAATCATTAGTGTACCTTCTGTGATAAGTTTTTAAATTAATTTTTTATGTTAACCTTTGTTAGAAATATGACAATATAGTTGACTAAAAATAAAATTATGTCGTTTTTGTGAAATGAATAATAAATGATTATTAATTAGGTAAGAAAAGTTAGCTACCAATAGAAAAAAATTGTTATGTCACGCTCGCAAACGACAGGCATACACACATGAAGATATGGTGAATGCTAGCCATAGAGGCACGGGCGGATCTACTTATATGTTAAGAGGGCCATTGTCTCCCCCAAAATTTTTAATTTTTAGTATATATATATATATATATATATATATATATA